AGCTCTTATCATTCAAATCCGTAGCTCTCTCCTTGTTCTGATCTATATAAATACATTATGCTCATTTGTTGTTATATATCTAATCTCACATAAAAAAAAATGAAAACAAATCTAAAATAAATAGAAAGAATAACTATTTTCTATAGCCAAAGGAGACGTTAGTAAGATCAGGTAAGACTATATTGTAATTGTCATTCTCTAATTCCAATCTATATTTATAAATTATTTATCTTTCCTTGAAACTTATGATGTTTATTCTATTTTAGACAAGATATAAATGTAGATTATATATGTAGGTAGATAATATATGATATGTAGATGAGTCTCTTTTCTGTCAATACAGTTATGGTTGCTGCTCAAGTGAACTATTATATCATGTTCCACCTACCAAAATTCAATATCTTGTTAATCGTCATTTAGCAAAGTTGCTTCCCAAAGTTGCATTTTAGATTTCTACCTAACGTTTTCTTGCTCTTTCTTTTTAGTAACTTCTAACTTGTAAATGTAACAATCCAAATAATTTAGTTAGAATAACTACGGTTTATAAAAAGTAGCAAATAAATATGTTTTAAGTTTTTCATTCCAATTTTTATTAAAAAAAAATCAATTTTTTCAATATTTTAATCGAAAAAATAAACAAACTGATCGATGTATGGTAGGGGTAAACATTGCTAATATTATAACCTTCCTGTTTCCACGCCTGGTTGCCTGCAGCTTTGTTAAAAAAGAACTTGTTAAAAAAAATGTCTATGCTAGAAAATTATTGACTGCAGCTTTTGTTAATTTAAAAGCACTAAATATCAGAAAAAACTATTTTAACAGTTAAAAACATAAAGTGTTGTTTACTATTATTTATTTGTTCATTGAACATAAATAAATAAAATATATAAAATAAATAATAATATATATAAATATAAATAAAAGTAATATTAGAATATATATAAATAAAATTAAGTATAATTTTTTTTTAAAGTTTTTACTGAAAAGAAAACATTTTATTAAAACTTTGTAATCTTTATGAAATTAATAGATGATAAGTTTTCAAAAAATATTGGCATAGTATACAAACAATTATTAAATTAAAACTGCTTAAAAATCTTTCTCCCTCATAAATTGATATTTTAACTATGTTTTTATTGCTTGGTGCAGCTCTAATATAGGTAAGACTACAAAACTAAAGTAGACAAAAATATGCTGTCAGAATTATTTCGAGCATTTACTCAATATTTTTCAGTAAAACCTTTATCGAATTCTTATTTTTATGTAAAAAATTTATCATAAAAGAAATCTTTTTTTTTTAATGAACTTTGAACTCCTTTTCAGTAAAAAGTATTAGCATTTACCCAACAAGATTTTCAAATTACATTTATAAGCAACCTAAAATGCGTTATTAGGCTACCAAACACTTTAATAACGAACTGCAAAAATGTTTTTAACTTTATCAATTTAAACAAAAATTAAAAAAAAAAAAAAAACTTTTTAATAATGTTAATGAATTAAACTCTTTCAAAGAAAATTTTTTAACAACTGTTTTGATAGTCTTTAAACTTTGTTTAAATTATTTTCTTAATTTATCTTTCGTTCTCAAGCTTTGAGCTTTTTAAATTATTTTATTAATTTATCTTTAGCTTTGAACTTTTGTTCAAAACTTGAAAATCAAATAAGATATATTATTATGTTCTAATTAGATATAATATTATTTTCATTTGAATTTAACTTAGTAACTAATCCTAACAATGCTTGTATATAATTTTTAGTAGTCTTCGTAGTTCTTTTAATGATTGTTAAGACACACTTTACAATGAAAGCACGTCACAGCTTACGGAGCGAAGTAATAAAAGCAATTCCCCCGGTCAGGTTTTTATGGTAAAAACGGTCAATGCACGTAAAACAAAGATGTACTATACTGTCACTTAAACTGTTATACATTGATAGCGTTTTTGTTTTTTAACTAATTTAAATCTTCTTTTAATTGGAAAGTTCAACCCTAATAAATGTAACACAGTGTAAGTTACAATATGGTACATCGATGTTTTTTGTACCGTTTTTATCAAAAACACTCAACCCTATCATGTAAATATTATTTATATAACACTGACAAAATAATTGATATTATTATTATTATTATTGTTTATCAAAAAAAATATGGCAAACTTGTAACATCGACTATAGAGAAGATATGAACATTTTGAATTAAACAAAAAGATTTGAATAACATTAATTCAATATATTTACAAACATTTATTGTTTCACAACTATTATTTATTTGTTTGAATATAAACAAAAGTTATATTTGACCAGCTTAACAATTTTAAAATAATTACGTTTTACGTTTAAATGTGATGAATTTAAACTTTATTCTTTGTCTTCAAAGTTTTGAAAAACTTATTTCGTGAGAAACATTGGTACAAACTATCGGAGTAGAAATTTATTATAATTGATTGATTTAAATAATGATGGTAGGGATTGAAATACCGAAATGTAAAAGCATTGATTGACGGTAAGGTTTAGGGATGGGTATAATCATGGTTATTTAAGTTTAATTGGGGGTACATTTTGTACAAGTCCATCAAAAACTTTATTTAAAAGAAATTTTACTGAAATACTTTTTCGATTATTTGTAAATTTTAAATTATCTTAAAAAATATATATATATATATGATAAAAAAGAATAATCAAAAATTAAGTTTAGATTTCCTTCTCTCCCCGCCCCCTCTTAACCCTTCCCCTACCTCCAAATAAATTTAAGTTGTTTAATAATGTAATTAGTGCCGCAACATGGGGGTTGTAGTTTCTTTTAAGAAATATTTTTATAAAAAATGAGATAATAAATAGATCCTAGATAATCTTCTAAAACTTTTATCAATTTTTAACTTTTAATTTTAATTTTTTTAAATATGCACAACTTTAACAGTAAAGCTATATAAAATAATTAAAATATATAAATAATTAACAAAAATACCATTTCTTAGTCCACCAAGTAGTCTATCAAGTAGCAATGGTTTTTGAGTCAGCACAATGTGATTAATCATAGTTTGGTTTTCAGGCGAACTAGGGTTCGGCAAGAAAACCAATTATTTCTATTTATTATTAGTTTGCTAAAATATTTAACACAATTTTGTATAAAACATTTCCAGTAAAAAAAAAAAAACACAAAAAAAAACAAAACATGTTTTCTTTGTTAAATAAAACTAAAAATAATAAACAAAGATTTCGTCAAAGATTTATATTTTTTTATTTATAGGAAACTCTCAGCTACATTTTGAATTCAAAGAATGTAAAAAATTATTTTAAATACATTCAAAAAACAGTGTTGAAAATTTTCTCTATGCGTTTTTTTATTAACTTATAACAGTATGACCAAACCTATGTTTTCATAGTGAAGTATTATATGGTAATGCACAAAAACGACTAAAATCGACTTACGAAATTTTGCTAAAATATTTAACACAATTTTGTATATAACATTTTCAGTAAAAAAAAACAAACAAAGATTTATCATAGATTTTTATTTATTTTATGCATATTAATGCATACTGTTAATATATACACATTCCAGATAAAAAATGTACTGTGTTTGAATAGTTATAGTGCTGCAATTGATTTGTTTCAATGCCGTATAAAAAGAGTTCATAATTTATTATTTAAATATATAAATCGACTGATAAGAAGAGAATAGCATAAGTAAATGTACATTTATAAACTGACACGTATAAATAGCAAAAGTAAATGGATGGAATTACGAGTTTTTAATGGTCAAAAAACAAATTTATTGGGTAAAAGAAATTATGATCTGGAAATTATATGCATGGTACTCTTTATGAAAAAAAGTCTTGAATGCGTTTTAATTCGATTTGAGATTGAAACAAGTTACTTTCTTAAAAGTTTTTTTAAACCGTATTATAAATTATATAAACAATGAGATCCCTGAGATGGAATCTCTTCAACGCAAACTGTTAATATGGCAACAATTTCAAATGGTTTTAAAACTATTTTAAATGGTTCTAAACATTTTTTTTAGGGTTTAGCTCTTAATTATTGTTAACACAATTTGAAATTGAAAAACTCAATTGCTATTGAAAAATTGTGCGGCCGTGGCACAATGGTTCGAGCGCTTGCTTTATAAGCAGGAGATCCAGGTTTGAAACGAGCTCTGGACATATTTTCGTGTCACGTCAAGGAAGGAGGCGTGAACTTTCTGGTTAAATGCACTTCCGCGGTGCTCTGTGACAAAACCGTTAGGTCTTCTTGGGGCACCTAAATAACAAACAAACAAACAAAAATACCTTCAAGTAAACGGAATTTCTCTCGAAAATGCAAAAGTTGAAGTTTACTGTGATTCATAAAAACTAATTTAAGTCCAAATCTTGTATTATTATATAAATTCTATATAATAAAAAATCTATAATCCAATACCTAAAAAACCAATATCTGTGATATCTAAATGTAAAAGCAAATTACTTATAATTTTAAGTACTGAATCATTCAAAAAATAAAACATTTGAAAAGAAAAAAATTCATCTTCAGATTTCCATATTAACGATGATTTGTCTTTCACAAAAATCCGGACAAGCTTATAATACCAAACTGAATAAGAAGCTACAAAAGCTAAATATAATAAGAAGCTACAAAATACCAAATTCCACATAAAAATCATATAAAGAGTAAAAAGAAAAAATTTCCGGTAACAGCATCTATTTGAATAATGATATATATTTAGTTATAAAACAATAATTGTGAACGATGAACTTCCTTTTTTCTTAAATAGTTAATAATTTTTAGGAAAATATTAAATTTGTTAATTAAGAAAAAAAAAAGTTTGTTACAAAAAAAATCAGTAACATAAAAACAGGAAATTTGGTATGAGAAAAAAAACTTGTAAAAAATGTAAGAATTCGTGATAGTATTCGGTATATGTATGCGTACATATTTATATTTATATAAATTCTCTTTGATATTTAATTTTGTCTAAAAATATAAATGATTTGAAAAACAAATGTAAATAAAAAAGTAGATTTACATTCGAAAAGTTTAACTAAAGTAAGGTTACTTTGAAAATTTTAAATTTTAGAAATGAAAAAACAAAACCATATTATTATAAAACAATAAAATTGATATATAACACTTTCAACACATTATAAATACTATTGGCCACACTAATGCAAAATACCCCGTTTTTGTCTCAGTTTTACCTATAAGTCAGCAAATATTTATCTTCACTTAAGTACCGGGGGGTTAATTATTGCTTTTCCTTCAACTATATTGGTTATTGCTTAAAAAACGATCGGTTTCTTCTGTTATATTAGTAAAATTTGTCGGTTTCTTCTCTTATTTTGTTAAAAGGTATCGCTTTATTGCGTAATGTTGGTTATCGCTTTCTTCCACTATGTTGGTAAAAGTTATCGCTTTCTTCTATTATGTTGGTAAAAGTTATCGGCTTCAACTTTTATTACTACTTTACTAATGTTTTTATATATTATTTAAAAATTTATTAAAACAAAAATGATATAAAAATACAGCAAAAAAAAAAAAATAATCTAAACTATAAATATTTTATCGATGAGTATTTTTATAATTGATTATAAATAAACTTAGATAATAAATAGTCAATAGAATATTGGTTCTATTTATTTTTATATAGTTGTACAAAGAACTATTCTATTTAATTCATTTAACAATAAACTGAGTTTATTATTTATGTATTACAAAACAGAAAAAAATTAAAAGTCCTCTAAACTTCACAAAATAAAAATATGACTGCAAATGTTCATCTTTTTACATAATTGTAAACTTGCCGCTGTCACCACCAATGCGCACCACTCCCTACCCACTCACTTACTATCCACCTAATTAAAATTTAAAGTAATCTTTAAAATTTAAAGTTTTCGCTTTTGTCCAACCCTTCTAAACTCGTATTCATAAAAAAAAAAAAAGATTAAGGTATATTTATAGCCATAAGTATAGATAACATTTTTTATAACAAATTCAAAATCAATTCTGAAGTATAAAATCTAATCAAAATACACTTAGTGGGATGTAACAATTTAAAAATTAGCATAAAGAAATGTTATATTTTAAGTAAGAATTACGCATTGGGAGATTGCTGAAAAAAAAAAATCTTAGATAAAATTCTTTTAGAGGGTTGTGATTTTAAATGCGTTTAACAAAACATGGGGAGATCAGATATAAAACATAGAAGTTTCAAATGGTGGATATCTTATTTTAAAATAGGCGGAATTCTTATTTTGTTTAAAAAACGCACGAGCTTTGATTTTCTAAATACGAAATTATTATTGTGAGAAATAATACAACGGAACAAAATCACAATATGCAACATGTTTTGATTTAAACTATTTGACTCCATTTAAAAAGCTTGAAACCTTACTTCCTCACTTTATAATTGTTTACAAAAAACAAACATTCCCAGTTTATATTTATTTAATAGTTTTTGTATATGACCAAGTACTTGTTAAAAACTATTCATTATTAATAAATAAAATTATAAATTTGATTGCTTATTCTTATTTATTATTCACCTGTTATACGTTTTTTTCAACTATATGCGTAATATTTCTAAGAAGCGTTTAAAAACCTATTTATCCACATCTTTTTGTGATATTATAAATAGATAAACAGTTTTTCAATGTTGTCGGATTATGAGAGTTTGATATTAGATGTCAACAGGTTTAATTTATCTTCTTCAACTTGAAATAAAAACAAACAGTTTATTTACTAAAATTAACAGATTATTTACTAAAATTGCTTTAACATACAAAAGGTTTTCAAATATCTTTAGGGATTTTCCATAACGTACGTACACTCGGATGCGGAAGAACAGGTCTGTAAATGGCGTATATATGATGAGGGGCAGGGGGTCAGTTATAAAAAAAGACACTAAATTAAAAAAATCTCATAAAATGTTGGGTAGGTAGGTTAAAAGCGTAGGTACTTTTAGGTAGGTGGAGGGTACTCAAAAAAGCGTATATTAAAATGCGGGGGAGTGAGGGGGTTGGGTCGAAATAAAAGCGTTCGTACTATGGACGACCTCTTAGTCTTATAAAAGACAACATTTTAAAGATTTAAAAAAGTAAGATGTATAAGATTGCCACCTTATCATCTTTATTGTTTGAAATTAACTTTGTTGGCCGCAACTTCCAATAATGTAATTTAAAAAAATATTTATGGTGTAAGACCACATACCATACGTACTTCCAACATAAATGTGTTAAAGAAAAAAGTTATTAGCAATAACTATTGCTTAATGGCAAACTTTTGAATAATAAAAGTTAATTTTCAGCCAAACCTACTGCCTGCTAAATCTTTTATTAGCAAGCATAAAGTTTTTGTTTGGTGTTTTGATTTGAGCGCTAACTTGTGCATTCATTAAATGTTTAATATGTTTTTTAACATCTTTTCCACAATAGTTCTCTGTCCAATCATTATTCTCTTTTTTTTTTTCTTTATTTTTTCAACTCTAACTCCCTCATTTTTCAATTCATC